GCCGCCTAGCTTTTGTGGTTCCCGAGTTAAAAGTGCGGGACAAAATGTGGGACACACACACACACAACCCCTGTGACAATATGCGTTTTGTAACGCTGTTACACAACACAAAATGCATAAAAACGCATCCTCGCACGGGCAGCCCGTGCGTTGGCCAATTATTTATCCTGAAGGCAACACCCACAGTCTTACCCATGGGTAATGAGCAGCTCGAACCCGAACTCAGAAACGAGCGATTTTTACGCGGACTGGTTGCGCCCATACAGGCAAGCAGCAGTGCTGACTCTGGAGCAGAGTTGCAGCCGAGCCCGCTCAGATTCTGCCACAGGCCAAGCTGCTATGCCACAGCGCTGAAGGCAAACGTTAAGCGCAACTAACGCCTGTACTTGTAACTGGCCAATCCCAAACACAGCCGCTCCAAGGCACAGCAAAGATTCAACAAAAAGGAAAATGCGCTTCACTGAATTATGAAAACGGACAAATATTATCGGAAAAGAACACGCAACCGGGAGAGGCGCAGAGCAGTTCGTAAATACTCATGCAAATTTATCAAAAACCGCCAAATAACAAGACGACGTTGCACAGCTCCACCGGAGTGTGGAGAGGGCTGCGGTCGGGAAGCGAGGGCCTGGAAGAGAGAAGAGGGGGAACGGCAACGTCAGCATTACATTAATCGCAAACTGGTTTTAATCTCACTTATCAAACAAGGTGCTGGCGCCTGCGGATTACGATCCACTCACCTGGAGCAATAGAAGATGCATGCAGTGGACAGAAGAACCCTCCTTCAGGCATCAAGAAAACTGCGCCCGGGACAAAGAACCCAGGAAATGAAGCAACACACTTCTACCACGCACAGGAACTGCCTGTGATACGGGTGAAACTATGGTTTTACGGCAAAAAAATTTGATGCGCCTCCAACACTGCTCATGCCTACTCAAAAACTTGTCATACGCTTGGTGGCTCGCACATGAACAGCAAACACTCTCAGAAAAATGCTGCTTCCTGCTCAGTCTGACTACCGAGTTAATATGTTACCAACACTGTTCCAAATTAAATAGTAACTCGCGTCAACGCGAGAACTAAGCATGCCTTAAAACTAAATTTGAAATATTTGAGTAGCGTATTGCAAGAGAATATCCTCACAAAGTTTCAGCTCTCTAACTTGACTGGTTGGCGAAACCGCTTCTCGTCATATCTTTGAAGTGTCCGAACGTGCGACGCAGCCAAACATCAAAAGTCATTTTACGCCCATGTCCCACGTATAGAAAGCAAGTGTTTTTATGCATTTTTTTGCATCTGTGCAAGAACGCATAATGTCGAGGTGTTGTCTCTGTGTGCGTGTGTATGTGTCTGCACGTTCGTTTGTACCGATTTTTCACCTCAAACCTTACAAAATCTACAAGGCTTTGGGTACTTAATCTGCATGTATGTACGAACCCCCCATCCCCAAAACAGGCGCTTTTGCCGATGCCGTTCCTGCGTACGAGCTCGTCAAAGTTTTTAGTGGGTAACCTGCTAACACGGGAACCAGAAAAACTAGAAAGATGGAATTTTGAGAGATATTCCCCATCAACACTGGACTTAATGAGCTCAAACTCAGCCCCTAGATTTGCTTGGTTGTCACGTACGGGCCAGCAAAGATTTCTGGTGGGTAAGTCGCTAATTCGGAAACCAGAAAAGCTAGAAGACTGAAATTTTAAGAGGAAGTTTCCTCACAGCCTTGGTGATCAGTCTCAATTCTTTTAGTTAGAAGCATCCGCCGGAAAAACCGGTGCCCTTAGCGAAATAAACAGCGGAGAACTGCGCAAAAAACGTACCTTCGCACCGGCAGCCGGTGCAATGGCTGGTGATCTTAGAGTTAGAGCGAGCGTTCTAATCAGCTTGGTCCCAGAGTTGGAATTCCGCCGAAAATCAAAATACCCTAATTTTAGTATGTCCACACACGCGACGTAGGTAAGCGTTAAAATTGAATTTAAAATCTTTAGCTTACACAAGGCTGTAGGAACATCCCCGCAAAGTTCCAGCTTCCTACATTTGCCTGTCCCCGAAACCGTTTCCTGGCAATAAATCTGAATGTTTTCTTTTAAGCGTCCGTATGTGAGACGCAAACGTAGGTGAATGATAATATTAAAAAGGAAATGTCGCATCTGAGATGGATACACGCTCCAAAAACTTCAACTTCCTAGCTTTTTTAGTTCTCGAGTTGGAAATCATTGACAAAATGTGAATACACACACGTACACGCGCGCACACACACAAATATACATATACACACAGGCAGTTGCCGATATGCGTTTCGGCGCATAAAAAAGAGTGAGAAATTACCAACATATCGCATGACATATCGCAGCACAGTAAATGTTGATAGAATGAGGATGCGTTTTCACGCGCTTTATGGCCTCTGCTAGAGTAGTTGCCTGCCGCACGAGCGGTGAGAGGAGATGTACACAGCTAAAGTAGCAACTGATGCAAGCAGTAAAGCTCCGAAACAATCCTGAAGTGCCACAGAATAAGCTTTTTTATTCGCATACCATTAATTACAAATCAAAAAAAAAAAAATACTGTAAAACATCCCGTACACAGTGCCACCACCCATCCATTTTAAGCAATATCAATTTACAAACAACTCCGTGGCGTACCCAGAACAGTATAAAAAGGGCGCATTTTCAAGTCAGAAGGCTGCAGCAGGAAGCAGTAAATCGTTCATACG